TCCAAAAATTCCTTTGGATTATTGATTGGGATTGCATTAATTTTTTAGATTAATTTGGGAGAAAACTAGTAGGATAACATCATAACATATTCCTATAGGAGATATAAATTGTTTCTTGTTTTCCTCAAAACTTTGTATGTCTCTCAGTGAAGCTTTGCACTTTTCTTAATCCAGGTCTTCTATAGATTATAAGCTTATTCCTAGGTAGTTTCTGTTGTTCCTGTTTATGCTGCTACAAATAAAATTCTTTTCTGTTTTTTTTTTTTAGCTTGTTATTATAGTAAGAAAGTGATCTATTCATGAGTAAGAATAACTGTTAGCTACTTAAGTTTTTTATTGGTTTTCTATGATTTTCTAGGGAGACCATCACATTTACCAAAATGTTAATTATTTATCTTACTGTGCACTATAAATATCTCTTAAGTCTTCTTCACTTCTAATTGCATTGGTTAGAATCTTGAGAACAATGTGGAATAATTGTGGTGAAACCAAATATGCTTATTGTGTTTCTGGCAATAATTTTGCTTTACCAAAATTATATTTAATTATATTTAATAGTAAATTCTAATAAATACTTTTATTAGAATTATATTTATTAGTGAATTCTAATAAATACTTTTTACTATGTTCAGGATGTTTCTTCTGTTTATAATTTATTAAGCTTTAAGTCTTTTTCCAGAATGGATGTCATATTTTCCCAGATGCCTTTATTGATACCTGTCTACATGGCTACATGCTTTACCTTTGGTTTGTAAATATTATGAACTATATACATAGGCTTTCCTAATATTTAACAATTCATGCTTTCCTGGGAGTGATGAATTACTTATTTAAATTGGAGCTGGAGTTAATACATGGATGTTTTATTTTTTATTCATTTTCATGAGAATAATTCATATCTTTCCTTCCTTGCTGCATTCCTTGGTTAGTGCCTTCCTTCCTTGACAGATTTCAGCATATGGTGCTCCCAGTTCTATTAAAAAATTGAGATTAAAAAAAACTGTATATTTCTTACCATGATTTTGCTTTCAAAAATAGTTTAATTTCTTCTGGAGTCAATTGTGATCATTTATATCTGTATGGAGATTATTCATGTGATCAAAATAATTTCATTTATTATTAAAAATTGTACTATGGTATTGCCTCATAATTGACAATTTTCCTCTATTTCTGTGACTATATTCCTTATATTTTCATTTTATTCCAGTTTTCCTTGGTTTAATTTGTCTGTGGTTTGTGTATTTTATTGCTCTTTTCAAAGAATGCCTTAGTATTTATTTATCAATTCTATTAATTGATTTCTGCTTTTACCGTAACTAATTCCCACCACCTGCTTTCATTGACTAATTTCGTGTTCATTTTCTAGTTTCTTCAATTAATTGTTTCACTTTTTTAAAAAAATGTAATAATAAAAATATCCGAAGCTCAAAATGTTATTCTGAGTTCTTTGGGATTCTTTCTGTGTCCCTTGGTATTTGGTGTAAATGGTATTACAGTTCTTACTTCCTCTTTCATCCAGGAATTACTAAGGAGGCTGATTTTAAATTTGCAAGTGGTTTGACTTTTAAAAGTGCCAGGCTCTTTTTTTAATGTCTAGTTTTACTGCATGTAGCAGATGCCGCTAGTTTCCTAACTGATATTCCTTTCATCCATTTTTCTCTAGGAACTGAACTCAGGTTTTGTGGAGGGCAGCAAACCATCCAGCTAAAATCACTGTTTTTATCCACCGAAAATTGCTCAAGTCTACCTTGCAGCTGTTGGCACATAGCACAGTTCAAATGATTTCTCCTCTATAAAAACCTTCCAAAGTCATTCTATCCTAAAGGGATGTGATATGGAGCGTTTCTGACTAGCAGTACAACATAGACCTTCTTTGAATACCTTCACCTTTCTTCTGGTTATCTGAAGACAATCAGCAATTAATTAGGAACTGTTTTATAGGCACCCTTCTATTGTCATTTACCCAATATATGTTTTAATTTTGTTTCTGCATCTACATTTTAAACTTATCAAAGGAAAAAATCATCTTTATAGGTTCCATGGTATTCAACCAATATTGATTTTGAGTACTTTGATTCATCTGGCAATAATTTCTTTTTGTTTGTTTCTTTCTCTTTTTTGAGTTGGTTCTCACTCTGTCTCCCAGGTGGGAGTACAGTGGCATGATCATGGTTCAACTGCAGCCTCGACCTGCTAGGTTCAGGCGATCCTCCCACCTCAGCCTCCTGAGTAGCTGGGACAACAGGTGCACGGCACTATGCCTGGCTAATTTTTTGATTTTTTTTTTGGTAGAGATGAGGTCTTGCTATGTTGCCTACACTGATTTTGAACTCCTGGGCTCAAACAATCCTTCCTCCTTGGCCTCTCAAAGTGCTAGGATTACAGATGTGGACCACTGCACCCAGCCTTGATTTGGCAATAGTTTCTAAATGTTCATTAGAAAGAGGGGCTAGATAGGCAGGGCGTGGTGACTCAAGTCCGAGCACTTTGGGAGGCCAAGGTGAGAGAATTGCCTGAGCTCAAGGGTTTGAGACCAGCCTGGACAAACTGATGAGGCCTCGTCTCTACAATAAATAAAAAATTAGCTGGGCCTGGAAGTGCACACTTGTAGTTCCAGCTACTTGGAAGACTGAGGTGGAAGGATTGCCTGAGCCCAGCAGGTCGAGGTTGCAGTGGCCATGAGCGTGTCACTGCACTCCAGTCTGGGCAACAGAGTGAGACTCCAACTCAAAAAAAAAATTAGGACACTCAAAAAAAAAAAGAAAGAGTGGCTATATAGTAGTAAGATGAATATAAGATAAATATAGTGCTTAGATTTAAGGTACAGGTTATTTTTTCAGGTAAAAAGAAGAATTCAAAGCCGGGCTCTGTGGCTCAGCCTGTAATCCTGCACCTTTGGGAGGCTGAGGTGAGTGGATTGCCTGAGCCCGCGGGTTCGAGACACGCCTGGGCAGCAAGACCTCATCTCTACAATAAATAAAAAAATCAGCCGGGCGTGGTAGCATGCGCCTGTAATTCCGACTACTCGGAAGGCTGAGGTGGAAGGATCACCGGAGCCCAGCAGGTTGAGGCTGCGGTGGCCGGAAGCGGCCACTGCACTCCAGTCTGGACAACAGAGTGAGACTCCAACTCAAAAAAAACCAAAAAAAACCAACAACAACAAAAAACAAACAAACAAACAAACAAAAACACGCCTGCAATTGTATGTTTATTGCAGCACTATTCTCAATAGCAAAGTCATGGAATCAACCTAAGTGTCCATCAATGGTGGATTGGAAAAAACAAAATGTGGTACGTATACACTATGGAATACCATACGGCAATAAAAAAGGAACAAAATCATATCCTTTGCAGCAACCTGGATAGAGCTGGAGGCCATTATCCTAAGTGAATTAATGCAGAAACAGAAAATAAAATACTGCATGTTCTCACTTATCAGTGGGAGCGACACATTGGGTACACATGGACATGAAGATGGAAACGACAATACTGGGGACCTCAAAAGGAGGGAGGGAGAAAAGAGGCCATAGTACCTATTGGGTACTATGATTACTATTTGGGTGATGGGTTCAATGGAAGCCCAAGCACCAGCATTATGCAATATACCCATGTAACAAACCTCACGTGTATCCCCTGCATCTAAACTAATAAAGCAAAACAAATACCTGAAGTTTTTAGTTTTCCCAGATGATCATCAATTTCCAGAAATGCTCTGGGTTTTCACTGTAATTTTCTAATTAATCAGATGAACTCTGTCCTTCAAAAATGGTATGACCAGATTGTTATATCTTACTAATTAATCCTGCCCTAAGCCTTGGCAAGTCTCCTTCATAACTCATATACCAAGGTCCTAGCCTGCTGATTAATCAATAAGTCTGCCCAGAGTTCTGACAAGTGAGCTGAGACATTGGTTTAAAAATAAAATAATATGCGCCTGATTTTGATATTAAAAGGTAGTCATTTTCTCAAGAGTATGCTAATTCCATAAGAAATAATAAAATTGCCTTGCATTTAGAGACATGTGATTGCAGAATCTACCAATTAACCTCCTTCCAAAAGTTTAATTCTTCTAATGCAGAAGAATTTATTTAATTCAGATAACTCTATCCCCGATCTTTTGGTGAAAAAAAGTCTTACACGTATTCAGAAACCAGTAGTTTTATGGACATTTTCTTAAGCCAGATACATTATCTGGGATGAGAAACAAAAGTTGAGTCATGTTTTTCATTTTTGCTGTGACCCAGTGCCTACTAGATGTGTGTGTATGTGTTTACTTACATGATACAGAAATTCCTGTAAGCCATGAATAGCAAACTTGGGGCAGCCAAGGTTATTTCTTTCTTTCTTTTTTTTTTTAACTGCAGCACTTTATTTTTCCTTACACAATGACATGTTTCTGGGGCCTAATGTTCTCACATAACAGTAGAAAACCAAAATCTGCTGTCATCTCTTAAAGAATTAAGAATTGCATACAAAAACCTTACATAAATTAAAAGGATGAATAAATTTACAGGTGTAAATGCAAACCGCTTCCAATTCAAGACAAGCAACAACCCACGGTATTCTGGCAGGAAAACAGTTAGGAAACTGGATCCTAAGGCTGGGACCTTTCCAACCTAGACCAGCTGGCAAGACAGAAATGACAACTTGTTCAGCTCTTGCCAATCTCTAGAGAAATCCTGGAATATTCAGCTCTGACACATTAATACCCTGCACAGATCAAGACTCTTGGTCACACAGATTCACAGATCACGGACTTCTCTTCCATAAGCATGTTCTCACCCAAATACCAAGGGAACAGTTAACTTGAATACAAGGTCAAAAAGCAGCAACGAGTTTTATGATCCAGTGCTGATATCATACAAGCTTCAAGTCAAATTTCTTTTCAAAGGCGATTCCAGTTTCGTGAGGCTAGCATGAGGTGTATACATTTGCCAGGGCAAATTTACACTTATGAATTAACTCATGCAGCAAATGCTACGCATCTGCTCGCAGTCTGTTTAGAAGCATTTGCGGTGGACGATGGAGGGGCCTGACTCACCGTATTCCTCCTACTTGCTGATCCACATCTGCTGGGAGGTGGACAGGGAGGCCAGGATGGAGCCACCGATCCACACGGAGTGCTTGCGCTCAGTGGGAGCAATGATCTTGATCTTCACGGTGCTGGGCGCCAGGGCAGTGGTCTCCTTCTGCATCCTGTCAGCAATGCCCGGGTACATGGTGGTGCCACCAGACAGCACTGTGTTAGCGTACAGGTCCTTGCGGATGTCCACGTCACACTTCATGATGGAGTCGAAGGTGGTCTCTGGATGCCGCAGGATTCCATGCCCAGGAAGGAGGGCTCGTTGCCAATGGTGATCACCTGGCCATCAGGCAGGTCGCAGCTCCTCAACAGGGAGGAAGAGGATGCGGCGGTGGCCATCTCCTGCTCGAAGTCCAGGGCAACGTAGCACAGCTTCTCCTTGATGTCGTGCACAATCTCCCGCTCCGCTGTGGTGGTGAAGCCGCAGCCACACTCTGTGAGGTTCTTCATGGGGTAGTCAGTCAGGTCCCGGCCAGCCAGGTCCAGACGCGGGACGCCATGGGGGAGGGCGAAGCCCTCGTAGATGGGCACCGTGTGGGTGACCCCGTCTCCAGAGTCCATGACAATACCAGAGGTATGACCAGACGCGTACAGGGAGAGCGCGGCCTGGATGGCCACATACAGGGCCGGGGTGTTGAAGGTCTCAAACGTGATCTGAGTCATCCTCTCTCTGTTGGCCCTAGGGTTCAGGGGGGCCTCGGCCAACAGCAGCGGGTGCTCCTCGGGGGCCACACGCAGTTCGTTGTAGAACGTGTGGTGCCAGATCTTCTCCATAGCGTCCCAGTTGGTGACGATGCCATGCTCCATGGGATACGTCAGAGTCAGGAGGCCTCGCTTGCTCTGGGCCTCGTCGCCCACGGAGGAGTCCTTCTGACCCACGCCCACCATAACTCCCTGGCGTGGGGGACGCCCGACGACGGAGGGGATCGCGCTCGGGGAGCGTCATGCCCTGCAAAACCAGCTTTGCACGTGCCGGAACCCTGGTCGATGACGAGCGCAGCGATTTCTTCTTCCATGGCGATGGGCGGAGATGCGGGGCGGCTGGCGCCAGGAGAACGCGGAGCGCGGGGCCAGCGGCGGCCAGTGACGGTTATTTCTTTCTCTGTTCTTTTCTTTTTTTCTTTTGAGTTGGAAGCTCACTCTGTCGCCCAGACGGGAGCGCAGTGGCCGCTCCCGGCCACCGCAGCCTCGACCTGCTGGGCTCCGGCGATCCTTCCGCCTCGGCCTTCCGCGTAGCTGGAACGACAGGCGCGCGCTACCACGCCCGGCTGATTTTTTTGATTTCTTGTAGAGATGCGGTCTCGCCAAGTTGCCCAGGCGGGTCTCGAGCCCGCGGGCTCAGGCCCTCCACTCACCTCAGCCTCCCAAGGCGCGGGATTACAGGTTGAGCCACCCAACCCGGCTGACGGTTATTTCTTAAATAACGAACTGAAATGTGTCTTCATATTGCTGTTTCTAAGCTCATTGACAATGTATGAAAAATGTATTACACGATATAATATTGTATACTACATACTGTGTGATAGAAAATATATGAATATTATATTATCCATAAAATTAAATACTAAACTATTAAAAAATGAAAGGTACCTTCATAACAAGTTCTTAAACTCTAAGCCAAACCAACTTAAAATACGTTGATTTGATTATTTCTGTATCTAAGTTTAATTGATATGTATCTATTGTATTTGTTTTCCTTTTTTTAACCTTTCGTTTCTTTCCCTCCTTTGCCCTTTTTTACTTTTTTCTATTCACAACTAAAGCTGACCATTTTTTTCTGTCATATTCATTCATTTATTCAGTTATTTCTTTATTCAGTAGGCATTTATTGAATGCACTATTGTACTGGGCCAGGTGCCAGGAAGTCAATGGTAAGCAAAACCCAGTTCCTAACAAATATATACATAATTTTCTTAAGTGCAATAAGGCAGAAGACTAGGTTGCAGTGACAGATGATAGTTAGGGGTATACTTCGGGGAAGATCTTTTAAAGAGTCAATATCTGGCAGGGTGTGGGGACTTACACCAGTGATCCCAGCACTTTGGAAGGCCAAGTGGGAGGATTGCTTGAGCCTAGGAGTTTGAGATCAGCCTGGACAACATAGCAAGACTCTGTCTCTACAAAATAAATATATAAATTAACTAGATGTGACGGTATGCACCTGTAGTCCCAGCTACTTAGGAGACTGAGGCAGAGGAATTGCTTGAACCCAGGAGTTTGAGGCTGCAGTGAGCTATAATTCATGGCGCCACTGCACTCCAGCCTGGGCAACAGAAAGAGACACCGTCTGTAAACAAATAATAAAAAAGAGGCAATATTTAAACTTAAGCTTGAAAGACAAGAAGGAGCCTACATGGGAAACATAAGCGGAAGCATGATTCAGTCAGAGGGAACATGACAGGCTCTAACTTGAAGGGGTGTTGTGTTTTTGACTAGAGCTGGAGGTTAAAGAGGTGGACAAGGGACAAGCTGGGTCTTGTTGATGGATCGTTGTGAGGAGTTTAGGTCTTACTTAAAGTATAATGGGAAGCCAGCAAAGGGTTTTCATTAAGTGAGTAACTGAGTCCAGTGAGTAAGGTTCCAAGAGTGGAAGCGGGGAGCTCAGTATGGAGGTTGTCATAATAGTCCAGGGGAAAGTTGAGGGAGGTGACAGTGGAGAAGTGGGAAGTCAAGAGATTTCAGATATGTTTGGCAGGGTCACAGAAATAAGCATCCTGCTGAGGAATTAGACCTGGAGAGATATAAACTGGTGGTCAGAGCCTGGGTGTGGTGGCTCATGCCTGTAATTCCAACACTTTGGGAGGCTGAGGCAGGAGGATTGCTTGAGCCCAGGAGTTCAAGATCAGTCTGGACAACATAACAAGACCTTCAACTCTACAAAAGAAAAATCAAAATATTAGTCCGGCATGGTGGTATGCACCTGTAGTCCCAGCTACTCAGGAGACTGAGATAAAAAGATTTCCTGAGCCCAAGAGGTCAAAGTTGCAGTGAGCCACGATTGTGCCATTGCACTTCAACCTGGGTGACAGAGTGAGACTCCCAACTAAAAAAAAAAAAAGCAGTGTTCAGGTTTTTGGCTTATCAATTGGATAGATAGTGGTGCCCTTGTGCCATAATTTTATTGAGATGGGAAGGACTTGGAAATGTGTGTGTGTGTGTGTGTTGATCATGACTTCAGTTTTAAACATGTTAAAGTTGAAATGCCTGTGAAATAATTGAGTAAAAAGTTGGATAGGTGTGTGTATGGACTTCAGGAAAGAGGTATGTGGGCAGGAGATATAAAATTTGAAAGTCATCAACATAAGGATGGTGTCTACATACTAGGAGATAGATGGGATCACTCAGGCAGAGACTATACCTAGAGAGAGAAGAGGGTCCAGAAATAAGCTCTGAGAGTTGCAACATTGAGACCTTGGGTAGAAGAGGAATAGGCTGAAAAAGACACTGAGAAGGCACCCACGAGGCAGATGAAAGCCCTGAGGGAATATCACATATGCCAGGAAGGAACAGCTTTGGGAGAGTGATCAACTGAGAGCTGCAGGAGGCACTCAGAGACCACCTGTCAACCAGCCAAGAGCAGACGACTGTTTTCCCCAATTATGTTTCTTAGAACAGGGGTCCCCAACCCCAGTCTGTGGCCTGTTAGGAACCGGCTAGAACGGCAGGAGACGGGCTGTGGGTTAGAGGAGCTCCATTTTCCCTCAGATCAGCAGCGGCATCAGATCCTCATAGGAGCGGGAACCCTATTGCATGTAAGAGATCTAGGCTGGTGCTCCTTATGAGAATCTAGTTCCTGATGATTTCCCCACCCATGTTCATGGAACAATAGTCCTCCATGAAACCAGACCCTCATGCCAAAAAAGTTGGGGACTGCTGTCTAAGAGAGTGTTAACTATCCCTGACCTTAGTAAGAAAATGTGAAAATTAGCTGTCAGCTTCTCAATCTTTTCATGATCTGGCTGGTTTCATCTGGCTTGTTTGGGATTAGAAAGCATTATATAGGACTTATTTGTTGTATATGTGAATTTTAACAATTGTAGAGTTGTAACAACTTGACTTCATTGGGACCAGAATAATAGCATAGTCAGAATTTAAGTGTGCCTAGGCTAGAAACTAAACATTAGCTTTTTCATAGAGCAATAAATAAGAAGGGGTAACATCCCTCAGAAAAAGTTTCTGAAAAAAAATTTTTTTTTTGAGTCACAATCTCACTCTGTTGCCCAGACTGGAGTGCAGTGGCACGGTCATGGCTCACAGCAGCCTTGACCTCCTGGGCTCAGGTGATCCTTCTGCCTCAACCTTCCAAGCAACTAGGACTATAGGTGCATACCACCACACCCAGCTAATTTTTTTGATTTTTTTGTGGAGATGAGGTATCACTACGTTGCGTAGGCTGGTCTCGAACACCTGGGCTCAAGTGATTCTCCTGCCTCGACCTCCAAAGTGCTGTGATTACAGGCATGAGTCACCACTCTTGACCTGAAAAAAAATTCTTATTGAACTTTTAATTTTAAGAGAATTGTAGACTCAAATTCTGTGCACCATGGGTCTTTCTTTTCCAGAGACTCATCCACGTCAGGTCTTTCTGGTATATTTCTTCCTCTATGCCTCTCTTCTTCTTTCTAATAGACTTTGTTTTGAAACTTAAAAAAAAAAAATTCTGTGTTCCTTTTACACAGTTTCCCCCAATGGTAACATTTTGCAAATATAACAACCAGGATATTCACATTGACACAGTCAAGTTACAGAACTTTTTCATCACCACAAAGAGCGTTTGTGTGACTCTAAATGGTCACATCTGCCTCCCTGTTTCCACTCCCATCCCTTACCCCTGCCATCCGCTAATCTGTTCTCCTTTTCTACAATTTTGTCATTTCAAGAATGTTATATAAATGAAATCACACAGTTTGTCATCTTTTGAGATTGTCTGTTTCACTCAGCATCATTCCCTGGAGATTCATCCAAGTAGTTGCGTGTGTCAATAGTTCGCTCCTTTTTATTGCTGACTAGTTTCCGGAGTATAAATGTGACATCGTTTGTTTAGCCGTTCACCTGCTAAAGAACGTCTGGGTTGTTTCCAGTTTTTAATTATTCTGAACTAAAGCCACTATGAACATGTGTGTACAGGCTTTTGTATGAATGTTTTTTTTTTTTTTTATTTCTCTGAGATAAATAAATGCTCAAGAATGCAGTGACTGGGTCATATGGTCATTGTATATTTAGTTATATAAGAAATTGCCAAACTGTTTTCCAGAGTAGCTATACAATCTTATATTTCTTTTTCCTTTTTTTTTTTTTTGAGTCAGAGTCTCACTCTGTCGCCCAGGCTGGAGTGTAGTGGCACACTCACAGCCACTCCAGTGTTGACCTGCTGGGCTCCAACGATACTTCCGCCTCAGCCTTCCAAGTAGCTGGAAGTACAGGCACTCGCTACCATGCCTGGGTAATTTTTAAAATTTATGTATTGTAGAGACAAGGTCTCACCCAGTTGCCTGGGCTGGTCTTGAACCTGCAGACTGAGGCAATCCACTTGCCTTGGCCTCCCAAAGTACTGGGATTACAGACTGAGTCACTGAGCCCGGCCCTATTTTATATTTCTACCAGCAATATATGAGAGATCCAGTTTCTTCACATCCTCACCAGCATTGATGTTACAAATATTTTAGCAACTCTGATGTGTATGTAGTGCTATGTCATCGTGGTTTTAATTTTTGGAGATGATGAACATATTTCATGTACTTATTTGCTATTGGTATATCCTCCTAAGTGAAATATTTCCTCAAGGGCTTTGCCCATTTTCTCTTTCTTTCTTTTTTTTGTGGAGTGGGAGTCTCACTCTGTCGCCCAGACTGGAGTGCAGTGGCCGCTCCCGGCCACCACAGCCTCGACTTGTTGGGCTCCAGCTATCCTTCTGCCTCAGCCTTCCAAGTAGTTGGAACTACAGGTGCACGCTACCACGCCCAGATAATTTTTGATTTATTGTAGAGACGAGGTCTCACCAAGTTGCCCAGGTGGG